CCTTGGAAGTGGGTGCCCTATAACAGGAAGGCAGAAAAGCACTCAGATCAAGGCCACCCTAAGCTCAGATGATCCCAAACAAAATGAGTGCTCTGTGACTGCAGCAGGGAGGAAATAGAGGCCAGAGAGAGAGCCACAACAATCCCTTTCCTAATTGAGAGAAAAGAGACCACAGAGTTTTGCTTTTCCAAGGACTTCTGTTCCAGCAGCAGTTGGGATTTTTGTTTCATCTTTAGATGGCAACACACTCTACTCATCATTCAATTAGCTGCCATGGGGGACACAATGGATAAACCTTTAGGCCAACACAAAGCACGTAAAAGACCTAAACAGCTGATCAGTCTTTTCAATTGGCAAGTTCACAAGACCTTAAGGATGTTATTTGCCGAGAAGAAGCACCAAGGCCTTAGGTTGTGCCAGTATCGATGGTACTTCATTTCTTCTTAAAGACAAGTCAAGGTTTGTATAATAATCCACCCAGCTACATATAAATTATATATCAAAGGTACATAGACTTAAATTGCCACTGTCAGGCTGATGGGCACGTTGGCAGGTTTCCCAGGACATGCATCACTGTTTAAACTTCAAGCATAAAATATATATACATACTTGGCAGGAAAAGGCAGCATTTAATTTTTTTTAAAGTATTAATGAATTAGTCATCAAATTAGTCTAGCCTGGAGCTAGATATGTATTTTTTTTGCCCTTAGTAACACCTGATAGTTGTCTGAAGAATCTCCCTGATGCAAGCCAGCTGAGGGGCCAACAGAAGTATTAATCACAATGAACAAGTATGTTGGAAAGTAACTCTGAGACTGTAACAGCCCATGTGATTTACGCTGTGTAATGTAGAGCACAGACCTTGCGTAAGACTTACACGGAGCAGGTTCAGTGGCATCTCCATTTAAATCTTCTGAGAGATGGGGCTTGCTGTCTCCCCTGTCTGTCCCTCACCACCTCCTTCCCCCTGCAGTCCCCTGGACACCCCGAGCTGTGCAGCTCCTGTGCTGCAGGTACCCCTACATCATGTCAAAGAAGCTCAAAGCCCACATGGCAGCAGGGGTGGCTGTGGCAGAGTGCAGCTTGCCTTGGGGCAGGACTCCCCAAAAGGCAGGTAGACCACACAAACCCAGCTGTTTCCAGTGGGATCTGTGGGTTCCCTGTGAACCTGCTCCCTCTAATGCTGGTGTGGGCTGCTCAAGCTTTCTTCCTGACCACGGAGACAACTCTAAACATGTTCATAACCATTTTGTTTCAGGAATTAAATATTAGTGTGAAGTTTAGTAGGAGGCCTTTCAAGAACATCCTGAAAAGCCCAAACATGCCCAAGTCCTTCATTCTTTGCTACCATGCTTGCAGTGACCTGGTCCCAGGGAGACTCCTGTTCCCCTCAGCTCAGGTCAAGTTATTTTATTTTCACATCACCTGAGTGATCCCAGAGATCCAGCACTGCTTCTAGTAACTGGTTTGAACAGTTATTAGAACAATATTTAAGCAGCTTCTCCTTAGATTACTCTTGACTCGTCCTGGAAAATCTGGGCTTTTCTGCCAGGAAATTCATGCAGAACCAGTTTTTTTCTTCATAACTGCACCGCATCTCTCCTGTCATCCAACTCACTTCCCACGTCAGTACTAGTGATACTGTTCAAGGGAGACCATGTAATTCTGCCAAGATTTGTGGTGTTTCTACAGAAGCAGGTGAGATCAGAGGCTGGTGCTAAAGATGTGGTGGAAGCTGTTCTCCCAGACCAGTTGACAAAAACCCAGTTTAGGGCCTGAAGGCTGCAGCAAATTCCCTTGGCCTGAAAAGCAGGAGAGGGAGGAGAGAGGCAGCTGAGCAGGAAAATGGGTCCAGGGAAGGTTTTTTTCAGGATTCATTTACATTCCTTTCCTTTCCTGGTGCAGATCTTGGGAAGCTTTGTAGATTTTTATCAGGGCTTTGAGGGGAAAGCAAGTCTTCAGAGGAAACTGGGACCTGCAAACAATAGCAATGCTGTCCACTGGTGGAATTTAACCCAGACCCTGTGCTGCAGCCCTGCTTTCCATGGTTTGTACAAAGCTGGAGGCGTGTGCTCCTTGCAATACCACAGGATTTGCAACACGTTTTTCTAGCATATATCAGGGTTTCTCTTACTTCTGCAGCCTTTGTAATATAAAATTTATTTTATTATTTTTGGCTTCTGAACCTAGTATTGTTCTTTGTGAAAGAGACAGGATACTACGGACATCGTTTTCTTAAGAGAAACCTATTTCATATCCCCGCAGGGAGGAATGTTATCTATCGAGGATGTTTTAGAGCTCCAGAAAATTTAACAGACACCTTTCCAGCCTCTTTGATACAGCCCAATTTGACGGTGGAGATGTGCTCTGAATTTTGCTCCAAGAAAGTAAGAACAGTTCTCATTTCACATCCTTTCTTCTTTTTTGTTATTTTAAAGTCTAATCTACTAAGGGAAGGACAGAGATTAGTGCCTTAGAGCTTTGAATTTGTAAATGAGTTTCTAAAGGACAAAACTCATCAGAGTAAATACCCAGTGATGCATCTGGTCCAGCCACTCAAGTGGGGACGGCAGGAGGGAAAGCCATGAGAGCGGTGCCACATGATACACAGAAAAGCTGCTCTAAGTGATGAGTATCGACCGTGAGGAAATCAATATTGTCTCCATGTCACATTCCAGCCAAGCCCTGAGCCAGATCTGACCCCGGGGGAGGTCTCAGTGGCTGCAGCTCATGGGGAGGCTCGCTGCCAGGGGGTGGATGTGGGCTGGCAGCATCTGAACCAGAACTCTAGTGCCCTGCGGGGAGCCAGCCCTGCTCAGCTCTCAGGGAGCTGTGGGCAGGGCACCTTCTGTTTTAGTGGCTGTTGGTCCTCTTCCCTCCCTCCCCACTCCAATGGGGCCGATTTTTTGTACAGAGGGTTCACTGTGTGGTCAGATTTTGCCTGCAGCCACATTCAGCCTCATGCACTAAGCTCAACATTCAATTGCTTTTTGCAGCATCACAAAATCGATTAAAACTATGAAGGTATGAAAAACAAATCTTCTTAATTACTAGGTAGAGTGGGGAAGCTTTTCCCAGTCAACATATCCTCTAAACTAGTTTTAAGAATGCACTGTGGAATTAACTCTGTGCAGTGAATTGCCCACATACCCTGTGTACAGCACCTCACAAACACACACCCCAACACACTCATATCCTCTAGGCATAGAAATGTTCAGGAATTAGTGAGCAACTATTTCCAAGCTCTGCTATCAGTCTGTTGTTTAACAGTGAGAAAAAAAATCTTGATCTGTGTCAGTTTACCCCATGTAACATAATTCTATTAATATTTACTGATGAAATGCAATTAATTATTGCTTCTCTGTCTGGGAGAATGATATGAAACATGGAGAAGCTGTTTTCAGATGGGCTTATGAGGTCAGTGTTTTTAAGCACAGTCCTGCCATTCTGTTTTTGGGAGATGATTTTTCTGAAAAGACAGGTTTTCAGAAGCATAGTTTCTTCAAGTTTTTCCAGACATCTGAAATTACTGGTGACTGAGAAGGACAAGGAAAAGATAACAGCCAAAATGTACCACATGAACATGACATCCAAACAGGTTTAGGATGGAGGACACTGTCCATCTCTGTGGAATAACAATAGAGATGGAGTTAGAGCTAATGCATATTTGCTTGGTGTAGCTTGAGTGAGAAAGTCATCAGCAACCCAGATATTATAAAAGATTATCTAAACAGACTCTTTCCGTACAGAAGGCACAGAGAGGGCTGCAAAAACGATAGCATGAAGAGGAAAAGCTACTGAAGGAAGGTGAAGAACAGGTTTGGTACCTCTCTCATTTATTCCTTCCTTGAAATGGTGCTGGTAACAACTCGCTGTTAGCTCTGCTGGGCACCGTGAGACCCTCTGCAAAGAGACTATTTCCCTACAAAAGACTGGCAATTTCTCCCTCTGCTTCAGAAGCAGAATTGCATATCCACAAGTCCAATTGTCACACACCAATTTGTGGTTTAACTCCAGATACTTAAACAAGACCTGTTATGACACCCCAAACATGTGTGATGACATGAATAAAATCTGGAAGAACACTCTCTCTCTTGAGAGCTGCAGTACCTCATGGCATCCGAGCCATGGCAACAAGTCTGCACACTTGAACATTTCCACCTCTAAGGTGCTTTTCTTTTTTTTATGGAGCAATACACAGAACACAGTGATCTTCTCAATTCAAAACCAGACCTGCTATTTTGGATTCCAGATGTAGCTACATGCACTTATCTACCCATAAACAAATGACTCCTGGGATTTGGATTCAAATCCCATTGTAGAATTCATACAGAGTGATTCCATAGCTTGATTTAGGTATTTTTTTAAACACAATAAAACAAAGATAAGTAGGCCAGAACCTTGACTGACACAGATAATCACAGCCTTGCTGACTTTACTGCAGCAGTGAGAGGGGAACATTCCAAATCGGGTCACACTGGGTCTAACATTGCCCTGCAGAAATGTCCCCTGGCTCAACAGATCACAGAGAAAAACAAGCTGTAATTTTTATGCAAGGACAGGATTGACTTTATGGTATTTATACTTTGCTTTTAGCATATCCAGTGCAATGACAACTTGAAGAATGACTTCTAGATTTGCTGCAAAATGAACATGCCAATTTTTAAATTAACCAAACCCATCAGTTTTACTTGAGAGAGGAATTTCCTTCTGAAATTAGACCCCATCTCTTATTCTTTCTGATAGATTGAAAGAATTTAACTGCACCAGATAGGAGAGTTAGCATAGGAAGTTGGAAAAGGAACTAATTTAGCAGAGTAACCAGAGCAAAACAGATAAATGTATTTTTAATCTATTCATAATTCTTAATTTCGATACAACCTACTACAAAACAATCAGTGATTGAATCGTATCAACTGTGTTGCTATTGGAGAATGTTTGCTTTCCTTATACCACTCAAGCTACCTATTGAGGCTTCATCTCACAAATTCTTGTGTAAATAGTTCCATTGAAATCACCTCTCCCTGAGTTACAACTCACAGGATGCACACCTGAGCCTGTCAGTGCCTGCTTTACAGCTCAGTCCAGGAAAATGCTTATCCACAGCCCCGCAGAGTTCTCTGGCTGTGTGCTGGTGTCTCACCAAAGCACAGCATCACAGATCTGCGTGTGCTGAGCTCCAGGACTAGTCCCTCACTTCAAAGTTAGACGGTAACTTCAAGCCGTGACCCCAGCTTGGGGCACACCGAAATACAGGTGAGCAAAGGGGATGGCTCAGAGTTTTGCTTAAACACTGATGGGAAGTCAAGACTGAACAGGTCACTTTGCAGTCACTCTGCGCTGCATCGGGCAGGCAGACCAGCGGGCAGGCAGCTGGATTAATCAGCTGGCTGATCACAGCACTTTGCACCAAGGCCGTGGGTCCTGGTCAGTCTCTTCTCCCAGGGAACAAGTCACAGGGCATGAGGAAAAGCCCTCAAGTTGCACTGGGGGAGATTTATACTGGATATTAGGAAAATGTGGAGATTTCCCTTGCAAAGCCCACTCCCCCTCTTCCTCACCCATGTGAGGAAGGCTGCACGGCTGAGGGTCAGCCCCGTGGCCTGAAGGGCTGCAGAGCACCCACCAGCTTCTGCAGACACAGGAGGTAGGGAGAAGTGGTTGCTTATGTCTCCTCACAAAAGCCCGGGCCTTCCAGAACAGTCCTTCACTTGCAGGGGCCACTTGGTGTGAGATACAAGGAACATTTTTGTTCTAGGCTGTGTTTGAGGGCAGGGACACATTAATTTCTCAAACTGAGAAACACTGCTTCATTGTAAAGGAAAGATTTCTGTTTGCAGGCAAACCCAGAACTGTTTTGCCCTTGGATGAAATCTGTGAATAGTTTTTCACAATGTCATATCTCACTCGCTAAGCAAATGTTGGCTGTTGGGGCACACACAGCACACGTGTTGCATTTGTCTCCTTATCGGAGGATGAACGCATGGGCAAGAGCAAGAGATAAGCTGCTCAGCAGTCCTGTCATGCTTTCCCAGACTCAAAAAGACTTTTATAAGACAAAAAGTGTTGATATGGAATAGGGGGACTTGAACATTCTGCACTCAAATAGTCCCTGAACTTACTTCTGCCCACTCACACAGCCCCGCATGAGCTCACAGGGGACTCTGGGACAAGCCCACTCCTTACAAAAACAGGGGAAACCCTGAATTTTAGGGTAAATAAGCAACTGCTAATTTCTTCAGCAAATAATTAACATATGTTTCCCTCAAACTTGCTTTAACTCTTACCACCATTAGCCCAAATGCAGCTTTGCAGCCTGTTGCCATCCTGGATAAGAGTAGTACAACAAAACCTGAATTATTCTGCATCAAATACATTAAAGAAAACATTTCTTATGGACAAAAATTTTCCTTGGAAATTCATTCCTTGCAAGGAACACTGACTGTAACTTCCTCATGGTTGCACACCTTAGGAGGTTTCCTATCTAGAAGCAAGGTAGCACAAAACACAGAATCACAGAATCTGCTGAGTTGGACATGTCTGTGCCTGAGGGCAGAGTCCAGGCACCAGCTGAGCTCACCCCATGGCACCCGGGGCAGAGCCACGTGCGGGCACCACAGGTCCCCCCTGCTGCCATCACAGTCCCTCTGAAAAATGGGCCAAAAATCGCTGGGTGGAGCATTTCTAAATAGCTCTTTCAAAACTATACCCAGTAGCTCTCAAACCCTCTACCAGCCCCTCTCTGCACATTCATTTTTCTGCAAACTGTGAGGTCACACTAAGATGCAAACTTTCTTTATGGCTTGACTTTGTTCTTTCTATCTTTACACATGATTGCAGCAGTCAGTGGGTCCGCAGTTCCTTCTTCCCTTTAATTCTTTTAAGAGCAAGTTTCCTCTACACAAACTTTGGTAAAATCAACTGAATAAGGCAAACTTGTGGCAGCTGACTTGGTTTGAGGGAATGTAAATGGAACTTTAAAGTTCTTTCAATTCAAAATGCTCATTTTTGGAGGCAAGTTCAAACTTTTCCTACACTGATATTTTGCAGGTGCAATTACATACTAGGTGCTGCAGGAGTGTTATAACTTTTTTTTATGAATTATGAAAAAGAATATTGTCAATTTTAAAAGTTTTTGAGGTTTTTGTCTGAAACCCACTTTTTAGGTAATTACAGTATGAAAACAGTAGTAGTAAAAGAGCACTAGCTTTAGAATGACATATCAAACACTGCTTTGATCTTGATAGTGGCCTCGTGAAGATTTATTTTCTTTGCATGGCAGCAGCATTCCCCACAGACTGTTGATGCCCTGGCATTTCTGCACTGATCCATTTTCTCTCTTCTGTAGGAGTTTCCCTTGGCAGTGATCCAAGGGCAGGAGTGTTACTGTGGATACCCCACCGGGCGGTTCTCTCTGCGCGAGGGCGCGGATGGGCTGCGCTGCCGCGGGACACGCAACACCAGCAGCGCTGCCCAGGGAAAGTACTGCCTGGTCTATCAGACACCCGTGCAAGGTACAAGCTCCAGCCTCACTGTGCCAGGGCCACCACTGCTGGAAACAGCCCCTGTGCCCCTTCTGCAGCGGGTAAAAGTGATCTCCTTTACAGCAGTCTGAGCCACAGTACTGGGTATCGTGACACAGGCAGGAATTTAGGAAATGGACTTTATCTAAATTTCCCCTTTGCAATCATGCTCATGAAGATGCACCCTTCCATCCTCTCACTGCACAGCACAGCCTCCCCTCAACACAGAACAACAACTTTATTCTGCAGATGGAGAGAATGAGGCAGAGCCTGGGAAGGAATTGCCCTACCACGCAGCTCCCAGATAGGCAGCCACCAAGGCAACTCTGCAGACTCTAATTCTGCTCTACTCATCTTCCTCTAAAATATTCATCTGCATACATGTTTAAGGCTGGAAAACAAGGTAGGGAGTAAGCTTCCAATCCAGAAAACCATTTAGGTGGTTCTGGCAACTTTATCCATGCGGTGATTTACATTGAGTTCAGTGAAACTTCTCACTGAAGTTTAAATAAACTTATTAAGCTTAAAATAAACAAATTAAGTGCTTTTCTGGATTGGTGCTGGGCTTTTTTTCCCCTAACACCCTTTTTTTTTTAATCCCCATCTCCCAGTTCAGAGGTAGCCTGCAAACACCAGCATGTGGAAAGACCATGCAAGAAGAATGCTTGTTTCCATGAAAGTGCTGGTACTTCCCAGGTCTGTAGAGATCAGTAGTAGTGGGAGACTGCCTTCTCTGGGCTGTGCAGGCACTTTCTAGCCATGCCTTCATCTAGAGCTTGCTCTGAAGAATGAAGAGAGCTGGCTTCTTCATGAATCATCACAAGATTATGACACAGGGTCAAGATTGGTTCTCATCCTATCCTTGGTTTCACTGGCATGTTAAGAAGCAAGGTGAGGATTTACAGAAGCACATATGAAACCAGGTATCTGACTCCATGGCTGCAGGGCTCACCAGTGCCTGGGCCCTTCAGAGAGGAATGGCAGTGCAGAGATTTAACTAAAGGCAGCTCCCTTCAGTAGGATGGTTTTCTCCTGTGTTATAAAACTCCCAGTTTCCAGGTGTAGTGGCACATTTCAAGTTCCATTGCAGAGCCAACCTGACAGGCAAATAGCTGGTAACAAACAGGCATCACCTAGGGGCTTTTAGCACAACTTACTGGCAAGTACAATGGCTTGCTGCAGCTTTATCAAAAAAACACTGCCTAACACAAAACCAGCAGAAACCTCTCTGAGGATAATCTCTTTGGCCTCATATGGCTGAATTAATTTTGGGAAGTAGCTGACTCACAACCGGACTCCAATTGATATCCTATATTCATAAGAGAGAGGAGGAAGCAATAAACCCTGTAATCAAGAGCTGTCAGTGGAATTATTAAAAAGCCACAATGCTAACAATGAAATATCTTCTCTACTCACAGACACTCGCTGCACAGACAGGAAATTCTTAACCACCAAATCCAAAGTGTTTGTTGCTTTGTCGAGCTTTCCTGGGGCTGGGAACACGTGGGCTCGCCACCTGATCGAGCATGCCACGGGATACTACACGGGAAGTTATTACTTCGATGGAGCCCTCTACAACAAAGGTACCATGTCCCAAGGGATGGCACACACACAGCCCTTCCAAGGCACAGGGCTTTACTCATTGCATTCTTCTGCCTGAGCCAGCAACAGCTGTCACTGTCAGCACATTTGGTGAAACTTAAACACATGCCTGGACCAAGCAGCCTCCCACGGTGCAGATGGCAGCAGCTGCTCTCAGAGAGAACAGCCAGGCTCTGCATTTGCAAATGTGCATATTGCCCACATTGGTGCCCTGTGCACACACACACGTGCAGTTCCCATCTGACAGGCTGTTGCCTAAACCCTGTGGGTAAGACCCTTCATGAGCACAGGAAACATGAAGGTTAAAATTTTCAAATGTTACTAATTATTCTGGGAGGGCCATATCCCGAGGGGGCAGACATTTAGCAAGCACCAAGCACTGGCCCTGGGAAAAGCTGCCTTGTGGCAGCGTGGGGCCAAGGGTGCCTTGCCCAGGGAGGGAGAGCCTGGCTGCCAATGGGTTTAACTGACCGGTACTGTCACCCCAGCTTTACACCACTGTAGGGAATGATTTAGTGCAAAAAGGCACAGACATACAATCAAGTGAAAAAGCCAACAATCCTGTCTTGTAAAACAGGTTTTAAAGGAGAAAAAGACCACTGGAGAAGTAGAAGGACCATCTGTGTGAAAACACACGAAAGTGGCAAGACAGAGATTGAAATGTTCGACTCGGCGATCCTGTTGATAAGGAACCCCTACAAATCACTGATGGCAGAGTTCAACAGAAAATACGCCGGGCACCTGGGCTATGCCACCGACCGCAACTGGAAGAGCAAAGGTAAGCACCACGCCCACATGGGCTGGTTTGAAACCCACCTCCTCAGCATGCTGGGAAGGGGGGACACACTGGGACCTGAGTGAGCACTGCAAACCAATTCAGCGGGACCCACATGCCACCACACCCGAGATCAGCCCCAAAAGCACTTAGACCTGCCCTGTGGGAGCAGTTGTTGTACACCCACCACCATGGGGAGGAGGGGAGCACAGCACTAACACCATGGCCACAGGCACACAGGAACACCACTGCCATTGCACTGTTGGGCTGAGAAGACATATCCAGGTACAACACTCCTGTGCACAGCCCATTTGCCAGGCTATGTGAGGTGAAGAAAATTTGCCCCTGCAGCATGTAATAACCATGAAAAATCTAATTTAAGATTTGGAGGATCCAATGGAGCATGACATTTCCTGAAGGAAATTTTACAGCACTGTACAGGTGCTACAGCACTGCAGATAAATAACGATAATAGCAATAAGGGGACTTGAGATTCAGTGTCCCCTGAACACATGAAAAGACTTCAGAACCTGCCCGCCACGCTTCATGTGTTTGACTGGCAAGTTGGCTGGTGACTGCAATTTTCCCACTGGATATGCTGTTGCACTCAGACTCTGCAGCAGAAAAGACATTTGGCTTCCATTTCTCCTTGTGCATATTTTAGGCATTACAGCTGTGGCTTGGCACAGGGTGGTGGGGGGGAACTGTCCTGTGTCACACCACATTTCTTCCCCAAGTCCACGTATCACCTTTCATCGGTCACAACCCAAGACCTATTCATCAAAACCCACACAAAACAGTCCTCAGAAAAAAGTCTGGAGGGAATGGCTTTACCATACTGCAAATTGTCACATTTTGGCCACAATGCTCTTTGTCCAGCCCAAAAGCTTTCAGCAGGGCTATCTTGACCTTCGGAAATTAAATTAGCACAAACAGCAAATAGAGATCAAGGTATCATTAATCCCCAAGGCAAAGGAAAATTGCTGAATCGCAGCATGGCTAACAGTGTCTCATTTTCCTGGTTTTCTGGTCATCCAGAGTGGCCAGATTTCGTGAACAGCTATGCTTCCTGGTGGGCCTCCCACGTCCTGGACTGGCTGAAGTACGGGAAGCGCCTGCTCATTGTCCACTATGAAGACCTAAAGCAGAGCCTCATCCCCAAGCTCAGGGAGATGGTGGAGTTTCTGAACGTGACAGTGACAGAGGACCGGCTGCTCTGTGTGGAGAACAACAGGGATGGGAATTTCAAGCGGTCAGGTGCTAAGCAAAAGGATTTTGAGCCATTCACCCAGGAAATGAAAGATCTTATCAACAGATACATCCTGACGGTGGATGAAGCCCTGAGGGGAAGAAACTTCACAGGGCTGCCCAGGGAGTACGTGCCAAGATGATAGCCTGGTATCACACTGCTGTGGTTAAAAATAAAGTATTTTTTTCTTAAAAAAAACCAAAACCACAAACAAAACAAAAAGAAAAACAACAATGAAAAAACCCCAGTACTCTCTAGCAGTTACAGCAAAGATACTTGTGGAGGCTGCTGAGAACTGCAAATTCTCTCCACTCTTGGGAGGTTCTTCAGGGCACTAAGTGCTCCAGAAGGGAAGGAATGAAGGATAGAAATTGGGTTATAAACCAATGCAAAAAAGCTGTTAGCCTACCTGTGGGTGCCCCTCCCTGCCCAGGCAGCTCAGAGCATCCCAGCAAAACATCCCCACCCCTGTGGCACCTGTCTGCTCGCCCTACTGCCACCACAGACCTGCCAGGGGCTGCTTGGGATTCCACAGCAACTGTTGGAAATGGATGTACTTAAAGGGGGAGAAGAGCGGGGAGTCTTAACACTGATCAGCAATTTTCATCTGAGCATTTAGGAAAATCGATTGCTTTCTTATTCGTATAACCCATTAGTCAGGTCACCTGCCACAGCAGTGCCAGGGCTGCACCGGGGCACGGAGGTGCCGTGGATGCCGGGCAGAAAGGTGCTTCTGGACCAAGCCCAGACTGCCCTGCAGGAACAGCAGCCTGAAGTTAAGGACCACCTGAACTCCACAGGGAGGCGGGGTGGCCACAGCATCCCCCATGGTGAGGTGCACAGCAGGAGAACAGAAATTCAGCATGGCCAGTTAGGAATCCCTGGGTGTTATCAGCCCCAAACCTGGCCCCAGGGGCATGGATGAGACCCCAGAGGGTGGCAGAGGACAGATGCCACCTGTGCTAGGGCCTTGGCGCAGGTTTCTGCACCTCCATCTCTGCACCTGGAGAGTCACAGGGGAGACACCGGGGCCAAATGTCACCACAGCTGGTGCTCTTGGTTCTAGAAGTGGCCATGGCCAAGCAGTACTGACATGAGCCTGGACCGCCTTGGGAGCGGGGGCAAAGGGGATGGCCCCACCTTGCCCCTCATCCCTGGAGGAACTCCAAGGCAGTCCGACCTGAAAAACCACAGCTACTTAAAGCTGCCCTCTGGAGCCACCCAGAGCAGCCATGAAGGTTTGATTTCTAACTCCTGCTGCTCCCTGTGGCTCCTTTCACCCTGCACCGGGGCTATGTGTGGTGGGGAGGGAGTGGGGGCACGGGGGGCTCCCAGGGCAGCTGCCCCATGATCCTGGACCACCAGGCAGCTTGGAGATGGTGAAACATCGCAGCCGAAGGGGCTGCCCTGCTGCAAGATGCTTCTGTTCATGTGAAATAAAGGATTTCTTAAAAATTTGAGTGAAAATACTAGTTTTAATAAAACAAGAAGTTTATATAAAGGAAGTTGGACTTCCTCTGCCTGTGTATCATTGGTGTTAAAAAAAACCCAACAAACCAGGATCTAGAGTACACTTCAGCCTGAGTCTCTCCCTGCTTTACGCTCCGCACACAGCTCATCTCTGTGCCACCTGGCTGGCATGGGGCTTTTTGCAGGGCTGGCATGTCCCCACCACCAACCTCCAGTGCCTCCCCAGCAGTAAGGGCCCCGAGGGCCAAAGGGAAATGGTGAGGGATTGCAGTGGACCGAACTGGTTCACAAGGAAAACTGAAATTCTTTTCATTTATGCAAGGGGCACAGCTCAGAAAAAACAACTGAGTTTGGGTGCTGTAAGCCCAGATAAAGGCAATGGGAAGACCCTGATGTGCCTGCACAGAGCACAGCCCTTCCTGGGATGCCATGCAGCCCCCAGACAGGGGCATGGCTCACACACACGGACACCAAAAAAAACCCCAAATACCACCAAAATCCAATAATAATGTGCCAGTAACAAACACCACAGATAGTAAAGAAACACCCAGGTATAGAAACACCCCCATAAAGTAGATAAATTAGAATGCTACGAAACAGGACTATTACCATCTCTACTGTGACTTAGTAAAGAGCTGATTCTTTCTGAAATTATGCATTAAATTGTTTCCAAGGTTCATTTGGGCAGCAGTTGCTGTTGACGGACATGGGTCACGTCCTACAGTTTGAGCCCAGCCTATGGAAGGTGCACAAATACTTCACAGAAAGAAATTGCTCATGGCCTCACTGAATTATGTGCCTGAGACCACAGACCAGAATCTGGGCCCACCACAAAACATTAAGATGATGAGAATGACATTTTATTACATTGCCTTTCCAGCCTGGTATAGCTTTACAGGACCATTTAAAAAATACTTTGATCATTTCAAACCCTGTAAATGGTGAGCAATGACAGGTTGTGAACTCTCAAGAAGGCAATTTAATTATGTGCATGTCCTGTAATGAAGGCTGTAGGTGGCTAAAATTAGAACTGGCAAAAATTATGAATATGCATTAGCTTGGTGATGCCAAAAATGAGCTCATTTGAAAAAAAGAAGTTGTAGATAACCATTTCTTAAGAGCTTAGGTACAGGGACTCCCTCTTAATTTTTATACATTTTATACAAAATACGTATATACATTATATATCTGTATGAACAGACACATGAACACATCAGCTTGTGTATGTTCTGCCAGGGTTCCTTTATGACCATAGGAATAGTGAAGGACTTCTTGGGTCGTGGACACAATCCCTGCCACTGCCTGCACCACCACATGCAAGTCACCCACACAAATAAACTGACTTCTATCTTAAAAATAGCTGCAGTATTTTCACCCCTTTCTCTCCTAGGTAAAAGGTTGCAGAATGTTCTCCTCTACTGCTCAGGAACCATCTCCAGACTAACAGCCTGAACAGTCAGAGCTCACACTGTTCTTCTCACCACACTTTTTTTGGCCAGCATTGTCTTTTAGCTGAAGTAGCCCTTCTTCTTTGCCTTGAGATGTGCTCACAGACATTGATCACATCCTCTCTTGAGCTCCATTTTGCAAGGGCAAATATTCTGTGGTCCTCTACCCAGCTTCCCTGCAAGGCAGGTTTTCCCATGCTTATCACACTGAGCTTTAATTAACCAGCATGTTTTAGTTAAAAAAAAAAAAAAGTGCTATCATGCCACTGAAAGCCATGTTGATGTTCACTCCATGTACAGTTTCCTTCTGATTTTGTATTCCATAGCAGCATATTAGAAATGGAAGAAGTATGCATGCAATTCCCTCAAGCTTTCAGTTTTCCCCAGGAAGTCGTGAGTCATGAGCAGGCAACCAGAACAAAACAGAGATGCTATGTTTGAAGAAGAGTTTAACACTTGAGATTTTTAAAGTGAACAACAGTCACAATAAACAAGCTGTAATCTATATTCTCCACTGAACTGCAGCTACATTCTGTCTGCTACACACCCAGATTCAGGTTACTCCGACCACGCTCCTGTTTGATCTCAACTGTCCTGCTCTTGACTCAAGACCTCAGAACCAACCTCCAGACACACCACCAAGTTCAACTGGCTTTTCTCTTAAAGAAGTAGCTAAAGTTTTGCACTTCTCTCCTTCCAGAAAAGCCACTGCCAGGACCTACATTTGCAGACACCCTCTCCCCTGCCATCTGCACAAAGTCCACCACATCAACAAATGATGTGCCCTGGCTGCTCTGACACCGAAAACCAGGTGGCTGAAACAAGCACCCCCAAAGATGACAGGCAATGACAATGCAGGTGGAGTCATTCCCTATGAGCCAGGCTACACGTGGAATCACCACAGGCACATGAGCTTGCTGCAGACACTGCAATAGCACACAGCCAACACTGAGTCCTGGCAGGATGGAACTCTCTGCCCTGGGAAAGCAAAGGTCCTGGAAAACTTTTACATGTAGGTGAGAGACAACCTCTCTACAGAGAGAGACTGGGTAGGTCTCTCGATTAGAGATCTACTCACACCTCAAGTACACTTGCACTCTTATGGAGAGGGAAACAAAAAAACAAGAGAGAAAAAGAGCAGATAAACCGTACTAGGAAGAGAGGATATAATAGGAGAGAAAATGGTTTTGCTTCCCAGAAACCAACTGAAAAATAAAGCCTTTAAAGCCCAAAAAAGCATAAACATCATTGCCAGCAATTCAGTCTTTCTGCACTGCTTTATTAATTTTCCATTAAACTCATTTCTTTTAAAACCCATTCCTCACTTCTAAGACCAAGCTACTACACTACCACAGCAGTATTAACCTCCATTAAATAATTAAAGGATGGATTATCATCATCAGACCTCATGTGTCACCTCTCTGAAACCTAATGTCTCTTCCAATGGCCTGGAATATAATGAGATGTTCAAATATAAAAAGTTGAGTTACTGCTTTTTTCAGTTATGACATTTACTCAGTCAGAAAGATCCAACTTTTCAACTGCATTACTTACAATTTACTTATGATCCTGGTGGTTGAGAGCAATCTTTAAGGAAGCTATCCCTTTGAATCTCCTTTTTAGATTAGCATTTAATTACTGTAACAAATTTCCAGATGTACAAATTATAATGGACTATAAATCAGCTCTTCCCCTTTGAACCACAACGTTGCATTTTTTGGCCTTCTGCATCCTCAGACCATCAAACATCTATCTCTTCTTAGCTCTTGTTCTTCACAGTACCTATTTATGTTCAGTTAGTGGTTTCCAGGTCAGGAGCTTTTCCCATTGCAGGACTCCACCTTCCCCCCAAACACTGGGGTCTGGTTTCAGGCTCCTCAGGTGGCACCATGATGCTGTTTCTGTTACAAATAGAGCAACTCCCAGGCATGTCCAAGAAAATGCAGGAAACTTTTCAGAAAGTGTATAATTTCTATATGTGGGGCATGGTCACCGCTGATGGCTGCATGTTTTTGACCAAGATACCTCCAAGAGCAGCAAAGAGAAGGGCTGTCCTTAGTCACATGAACTGGTCTCAAACAATCCCTCAAATAAAGAGAGATATGACTGAAGTGCATTATTAAAAGAAATGTCTTATGCAACAGTTAAGATCATGTGATAGGCCCAAAGATTTTTAAATTAGATCAGCTCTAATTGAGGAAATGAGATATCATCAGTCTGGTCTCTCCCTCTTACTGCAGAGCTGTGTCTCTCCCCTGATTTTGGAGCTTGCTTGTCCCC